TCGGTCCATTACCTCTGACAGCTTGTGTAAATGTTTCCTGTCCGAGTAAATAAGGCACCGGTGCGTTGAGAAATCTCTCACCACCTTTTTCATCTCTTACTCGACAATTTTTACGAGTTGGTGGGACGGATTTTTCGCGGCCCACAAGCTCCTGGCCATAATGCCTTTGTAGTGCTTTGCATTCGAAGCGTCAAGCTCGTTCACGGTGGCCTTGGCCGCTTCAAAGCGGTCCTTGTACTTATTCTCGTCGAAGATATGACGTAGAAGTGGTACAACGTTACGCATGTGTTTGCTAACATCCTCCCAGTACCTCTTTTGTTCCTCGGCTGGCCCATCACGCGTCTCCCAGGCACACATCGCCCTCACATCAAGCTAGTCAGGGCAATTCACGATGTTTTGCCTTTGGCAATCTCTTTGCTTCGCCCACCCTTTATAGTTATTTTCGCTTGGGGATGTCAACACAATGATGCCCCCTGCGCGGACGGGGGGAAAATCCCGCGTGGGCCCTTGACCCTGGCGAAACGCATCGTAGATAATAAATCCATCCATTCCACTCGCAGCCAAAGCAATCAAAACCCTTCTCACATTGCCCGCTCCCTCATAGTTTGTCACTTTTTTCGTCGTCCTGTCAAACACGTATGCCGAGATTATTCCAAAGGAGTAGACAACGACTTTGAGTTTCGTATCGCCGTAGCGCAGCAGCTGGTAAAGAAGGTAGGAGCCAACGTTCATACATTTCCCGATGCCGGGCGTCCCAATCAAGAGCCGCCGCATCGGCCCCTGCAATTCCCCTTCGCGGGTGGTAAACCATTCGGTAAGATCCCTTTCGACGATCCGCCACACCCGCTGCACTTCGCGGTTGACGTAGCAGTCGGCAAGAGGCTCCCCCTCCAGGGAGTACGGCCACATCTGCTTCGAGGTGAGTATCATCAGCCGGGGGCGCGGTGCAATAAACTGCTCTGCATCTTCCACCGGCAGAAGAGTCCTGCCCTGCACTGTGTAATCCCACAACTGTGTTGGTGGTTGGCCTGCTTTCACCTTCATGCGCAACCGTCTGTGGCTTCCTTCGCCCTCGTGAAACTCCAAGGCGTGGCTGCATTGCGCGTTTAGCACTGAGTCGTAGAAACCATCCGGTATCGGCAGTCTGCCAACTGCCAGTATTCGAGTTGCACTTTCGTTTGCCTCCGCCGCGTCAAGGGCTGATTGGAGTATTGTCCTTGTAATAGGAAAAACAATTTCCTTGTGTTCAAAACCCTTCCAGTGTTGAAGGGTACCCAATCTATGCTCCATTAGCTTGATTACTTCCGCACGAAGCGCGTACTTCTGACACTCTGGTACGCTAAGAATGGCCCCGCGAAGCCCCGGGTCCGTGACGTAAGTCTCAGGCCTACGAGCAAACACCTCCATCATTACATTGCGGCCTTCGAACAGGAAATTGGGATCAACATACCTCCTGATGAAGTCGTTTAGCGTCATTTGTTCTGTAGCATCTAATCCCGCCAGTAAGACTTCCTCCACAGCACTGTGAAGAGCCCAGCATTGTCGTGCAGCTGCCTCTACCTTTCGGCGTTGCACAGGGAGTTGAACGGAAACGCTGCTGTCGAGCCCTGACCTCGCGTGCCGCGGGGGCAGAGGCACATTAGTGGCGGGGCTCTCCGCAGAAGCGTGAATTTATTCTTCACTTCTTCCAGACATTTCTCTCCTTACCTGTTTTACTTTGTTGTGGTTGTTGGCTTGAGCTGCGGCCGAACACCAACCACCAGCCAAAAGGGGAATGAAAGACAAAAAAAATAGGCACACAGGCACGCGACCCCCACGCAGACACATTCAGCAAGAAAGAGATACAGAAAGAAAGTGTGAGGGTCACCGCATCGTGCGGCCCCACCACGACGCTCGCCCCTCCCCGCAGAAGGGGGACATGTGCAAATTGCAGGGCAGACGGCAACAGCGATGCTGCTCTTCTCTTCGCACTGCAGCCGCCATTCGCGTCCCCACACACATCTCCGTCACTCTTTGGGTGCGTGTGTGTGTGTGTGTGTGTGTGCGGCTACGCGCGGGCATCGCCCACTCATGGTGGGGAACTGACACCGCCTCGTTGCGGTGGCATGTTGTGCCGCAATCTGCTCAGGCGAGAAGGGGCAGAGCACACGAGGCGGCCGCCCACCCGCAAGGAGGAGGAGGAGGAGGGGCGCCGCCGCAGTGCCCGCCACGACGCAAACACGCAGGGCGCCCAGCACGTGAACAGCGCGAGGGGACGTTATGCCACGCAACTGCGGCCGCACGGGGCGCAGCCGGCGAAGGCGGCAGCAGATGAGAGACGCGTCCGCTTTGTTCAGTCGTCGTGGCGTACGCCGCTGCACTTCCGTGCGCCGTTCAGCCGCGGACACACTTGCCCCAGCCGCGACAAACGAGGGGAGAGTGGCGGCACAGTTCCCGCGGGAAGGGCAGCGGCTTCCGCCACTTTGCGGCCACCGCGCCGCCCAGTGAGCCCCACCCAGACACAAGCTTCTTTTTTTTCTTCTATTTTCGGGCCGCACGCCATTCACGCATCGCCGTCTGCCTTCTGCTTCTCCCCACGCCCGCCTGTCCCGCTTAGCGTGTCGCTGCCAGGCAGTGGGTTCTCAGCAGCTCCCTCTGCGCTTCTCTCATCACCGGGCCGCCCACCACAGCGAGCCCCTGCATGCATAAAGGGGGAA